CTGTCACGATTGCTCCCCGAAATTGCAGGATTACTGTTCGTGCAGGGTCCTGCGGGGATCTAGGAACTGGAAATGCTAAAAGAGGCTGTCACACGTGGCAGCCAAAGCTAGATGTGTAATACTCCCCAGGGTCGTTAGGAAACAAGGCCTTAATTTTGGCCTTAATTTGTCTAGTTTTTTAGTTTAAGTTTGGCCTTAATCTTTCTCGGGTTTTTTTTTTTTGAGAGGTGAGGAGCGTGTTCCAGGTTGTTGAGGCAGTTGGGAAAGTAAGCGTATTCCGGGACTTCTGAAGAGTTTTATGTTCTATGAATAGGAAACTGTTCTCGACATCATAGCCTCCTCTTGCCCCCAGTGAAGGGCAAGGATGCAGACTTCAGCCATCTTGTGCTGGAAGGAGCCAGGCTTTCCCCAGGTGTTGGTATCTTCTTTTCTTTCTTTTTGCCAACAATGTGCAATGCGCTAATGCTGATGCAAGATTGCAGTTAGAAAGCGGGTTGCAGTAGTGTGGGTTGATCGGCTATGGGCAACGCAGGCAGGTTGCTTCGGTGGCAAATAATGTGTTTAGCCGACTCTCTTTTTATGGCTTTGACTTTTTGCATCCTGCTGCTGGCTTCCCGAGCATGGGGTATGAGAAAAGGAAAATCCTGCTTTGTTATGGGCTTATAATTAGGCAACGGAGTGCGACAGATAAAAGACGCGTTGTGGTCCGCCGCGCTGCCAAAAGGAGTTGCAGCAAATAATGCGCATGGGAACTCTTTCGAAGGAAAAAAAGTCACAAGGTACTTCTGTCATGGGGATCACAAAGGAGCCCCTCTCCCAGCCTCCAATAAAAAAATCTATCTATGGCATCTCATTGTTTTTTAAAAAGTCTAGAATTTAGACAGAAGATGGTTTTCTGTCTTGAGTTTTAGTTATTTTTCTTAATACTTTCTCTCAGGTACTCGCGTCCTTTGCTACAGGGCCCAGACAGAATAATAGCATTTTCTACGAAATTCGCACATATGATATTAAGCCATCGAAGATGAAGGAGTTTGTGGAAATGGTCAACAAGTACTTTCACCTTCGCACAGCTCACTCGGAGATGGTGGGATTCTGGTCTGCGGAGCTGGGAGCGATGAATAAGGTGGTCCACGTTTGGAAGTACGGTACGCTCAGCATCCCTTTGTGCCATGCTGCTCTCTCTGTGCTCCCTGTCTCCTAGGCACAAAGGCAAGGAGAATGCTTACCCAGCTTTTATTTGTTGCTCTTACTGTAAGAATGTGTCCAAAAAACATTTGTTCCCCTTCTGATTACTGAAAAGAACACTGCAGAGCCTGTCAGGACAATTTTGACACGTTGGGAGGAGAGCGTTTTAACTGTTCTTAAACAGCGATCTCTGCTCAAAAACAGGTATAATAGAGGAACTGCAGCAGCGTGCTTTGTTCATGGTAAATATTTTTAACTTAGGGCCAGTTCCTGAGCCACAAACAACTTCAGGATTTCAAAATGGATGGAGAAAAGGTTGAGACCCCTCTTTAATAAGACAATCCATAGAAGGGCAGACAATCTCTATGCAGCCTGTGTATGTTTATCTGCATGTATAATTGTTCTCAAATTTGGGTCGGGTGTAAGAGTCACTCCCTTAAAACAAGGCGCACGCAGTTTGCGTGCTTAAACTCCTTCTGCAGGGGGACTGTGCTGAGGTGGGAAGCCACTCCACCAGCTCCAACTTCCCCAGCGCACGAAACGTTTCTTGCTGCTGCTTCAGCCGTGGTAGCGGCCGGCTTCTTGCAGTGTAATCAGCTTTCTGTGCTGTTGGAGTCGGTGCTGACCTGGAAGGTGCTGGTGAGCCAAGAAAAGCTACAGTTAGGCAAGAAACCAGGTGTGCTGGCTGGGTTCTTTGTGGAGCCCAAGGGAACGTGACACTTCAGTTACGGAGGGGTGGGAAGGCAAGCCACTATCATTTCTTTGTGTACCGGCTGCAGTCCGGGGTGTACCTGTATGCTGAGATGGAGAATTGTTTCTGATGGCCTCAGTCCGCTCGCGGAAATCCAGCATGTTTACTGCACCTGTTTAGAATAAAGAGTCACCCCTTTTGTCCTGGAGGGGTGAAAGGACCAGCTGGCTGTCAACGGGAATATTATGCGTTGACGTGCATCTATGGTTAATAAATTGCCATGCTTCTCAGAACTTTTTAACCTTGCCTGTTTCTTTCTCTAAAAAAAAAAAAAAAAAAAAAAAATTTTAATAATGTGTGAGAAACTTTTAAAATGCAAAACTAAGGAAAAACCTGTAGTTTTTATTTGTTTCCTAGTGGTGTTTACATGTGTAAAGTACAATATCCTTTCTTCTTTATCCATCAGACCCCTGCTTATATCTTTTTAGTAGTTAAAAATAATTGGTATATTTTTCTCTTAGTCCCAAGATGCTGCTATATCTCAAGGTTTGTCCCATTCTCAGATGCTGGATTTTTCTCTCGTATTATTGAAAGCTGTCTGCATGAACATACTGCTTAAGATGCCACTGCAGCCTAACCAATTGAAATTCAGACACTCTTAATTCAGTGGATTTGTTTTTAATTAAGAAAAAAAACATGAAAAGGTTTAGATACTGTGCATTTAGTAACTTTTTATGCTGCTGAACAAACATTACTTCTACACTTGTGATTTTAATGTCATTTTATATAAATGTCATTTATGTACATAAATGTCATTTATATAATACCATTTTATATAAATCAAAATTTATATTTTTCTTAATTTTCACTTGGTAGGCTAATATTCCTTCTGAATTTTCTTTCCCCCTTCACTTCCTTATGCACCGTGCTTTCTCTGAATATCCTTATCCTTGGCAACTGTTGCCACATCCAGTAGTCCCTACAGATGCCATATATGAATCTTTCAGTACAGTAACATCGCTTAACATATTTTAAGTTTTTTGTAAACTTTCTTGGAAAATTTGGCTTGGCTTGAAACCATTTAAATCTGAGGAATAAGGAAAAATAAGGAAAGAAAAATAATAAGAAAAATAAGGAAACTTATCACATCTGCTTGGAGCTAATAGGCTGTTTAAAAATATCAAACTTATGTAAATGCAGCTTGTCTCCTGGTAATTATACATTTTCATTGAGTCTGATATGACATTAAGTGCATTTTTTCATAGTTTTTTTTTTCTCTGTTTTCCTTTCTTACAGATAATTTTGCCCACAGAACAGCAGTCCGGCATGCACTAGCCAATGACAAAGACTGGCAGGGAAAATTCATCTCCCCAGCGCTCCCCTTGATAGAAAAGCAGCGCAATGAAGTTGCTTATCTGGTACCCTGGTGTCAGCTTGGGAAGCCTCCAAAAGAAGGGGGTGAGCTTATCTTCTCTTTTGCTGATTAAAGTTGCTGATGCTGATGGACTAACAAAAAATGGCTTAAAGTTTAAACCAGGTATTACATGGTTTTATAACCCTTTACGTAACAAGTGCATGTACATACAGCCACGTGAAAAAGATGACATAACACAGATGAGGGGACAAAGTTTTTAAGAAGGATTTTTACACCAGCTTACATCAATAACTGACTAGAGCCCTGATTGTTAAGATTGTAAAGAGGTGTGTGGATTGCCTAAATGAACATGCAAAATGGCAACGCCGTAGCAGTGGTCAGAGCACTCATCCCAGACTTGCTGTGTTGTGAGATGTGATGAGTTGTGATGCTGTCCATCAGTGAGAGGACATTTCCTGGAGACACTAGAAGACAGTATTTGCTCTCTTTTACAGGGGTTTTTCTCTTTTATCAATTTGCTTTGACGTTTCTGCTTCTTTTGTGTAATAGTTTTAAGAAAAAAAAAATCCCTGCTTTTTAAAGATACATGCAAGTCAAGCATACTTTGTAACAATCATAGATTAGGTGTAGACATCCTGTCCTTATGTATTTGAATTCTCTCTGTAGCAAATGTGGTATTAATAGTATTGACTGTTCCCTGATTTATGAACATTTGCAGGCTTTTTTGCATGGACTGATGTCAAACAGGCCTGGCTTTAGCCCTCAGCTTGTGCATACATACAGTAATCTTTGTTCCTGTGCTCCCTGTGATTCTGAGTTTTATGCTGTCACAATTGAATTTGAAAGCAGTCTGGTTTTCTCTTGAGAGCGCTGACTTTTCAAACACCTAGTTCCTGTTTTAGTTTATCTCCAGCCCGTTGCTGGAGAATGAGACCAGATATACATTGCCATACGGCAAGTGTCTAGCTTTCTATTGAAGCGTCAGCAATTGTGGTCTAGAGTACTTGAACGGAAACGAGATGGATAATGTATCTTGTAGCAAGACTGGAGTGTTTTGGCAAATCATGCCATTTGTCTGCAAACAAGGGAGATGATGATTGTTTGGCAGAGTAGAGATGCTAAGCTAATCCTGGCCTGTTGGTTATGCCCTCAGATCTTGCTGTGACCAGTTGCCATGAGTCAAAGCGGTTTATAATGTCATAAACCACTTTAATGCCAGAAGACATGGCCAGTCTTAGAAATGGACACCTTGCATTGTTCAGTCAGCCGTCCAAATCCTGCAAACATGTATGAGTATTTGTGATTTCTGTGAAGTAGACTGCATGTCCCCAAATTTGCAGGCAACATAGAAAATTGCTAAGTTGGGCTTTGTGTGAAGCCTTCTGTTCCTCAGGGTCCCGGTATTTACACATACTTACACAGACTAGATCCAGTTAGTGAGCTGCTTTCCTGTGCTCTTGTGAGCCCCTGGAAGCTGCGAGGGGTTGTGCACGCTGAGTGGGGCAGTTTGATGTCCTGCTGACCTCAAATGGCAGGGAACTGCAGTACTGATTTTGCAATAAATATGTCATGGCCATGACACAGTGTTTGAGGACTGGCATATTAATTTGTACTTCTTTCCTTGAGGTCTTCTTTGTCTTTTCTTCCAGGAGTGTATGAATGGGTTACTTTCCAGATGAAGCCTGGTGGGCCAGCATTGTGGGGTGAAGCATTTCAAGCTGCAATCAATGCTCACATCAACACAGGCTACACCAAGCTGATCGGTGTTTTCCACACAGAGTATGGATTACTTAACACAGGTGCTACTCAATGTCTGATACAGACTTTGGCTTGGGAAGGGGTGGAGGGAGAGGGGCAAGCCCTTGTCCTGGATCAGGATTGGCCTGCTTGATGAAAGTGTTAGTGTGGGTCACCAAAGTCCTGTAAACAGTCCTTGAACCCAGCTTTGTGTATTGGGTTATAGGCTTAAGCCAGGTGTTGCTACCTTGAAAGACTCTCAGATCTTATGTTAAAGAGTCAAACCTTTTAAAGGCTCAGCAAAGGATCATCCCACCACTTACTTGCCTGGAGAATTGTTTCTGCTGACTGCAAGGCATCTGAGAGGTGCAGGCAGACTGCGAGGACTTAACAGTAGATGTTGTATTGCAGCATAACAGTATTCAGCTGACTTTATTTGTACTTTTCAGTCCACGTGATATGGTGGAACGAGAGCCCAGATCACCGGGCAGCAGGAAGGCATAGTGCCCATGAAGATGCCAGAGTGGTAGCAGCTGGTAAGAGATGGTGGATCCAGAGAACTCACTAGTGTGAGCATGCATGCTGAGAAAAGTATTTTTTCTGATTGGATTACTGCCTTAATTAAATATGCATTTAATTTCAGTGCGGGACAGTGTCAGATTCTTGGAGTCCCAGCAAAACATGCTACTCATTCCTCTGCAATGCTCGCCGCTGAAGTGACCTTCATCTAAAGGACATAACTGATGGCAGGAAAGACAAGATGGAAGTGCTGTCTGCAAGTGCCTTCACATGGATTGTCATGCCCTCATGAACTGAGCCAGCTGTTCTTCAGTTTACAATAAATGGATGCAAAATGCTGATCACTAGTAATGTAAATCAGGAAAATTTTGCACCCCGATAACAATTGCTAAACAGATGATTATGGTGATGTTCATACATCCCCAGGAAAAACAACTTGAGCCATATCACTTATGGCATGAACCACACTTGACCTTTCTTTTGTTTTAACCCCTCAGTTCTTAATGCTTTTCTGCATTGCTAGATCACTAATCAAGCCCAGTAAGTTAAGTGCTCTTTTCCAACATTACAGCTTAGGGCTGATACCATTTTCATAACATACTTTGGTGACTTTTGTAATTACCACATCTTGGTTATTGCATACTGGTTTAAGGAGGAACGCCCCCACAAACCTGTTACCCAGTTATGCTTTCATCAGGCTTGTCATGCTTTGTATTAATTCTGAGTAACATAAAATGTCAGCATGGCTGCAACTGCACCTAGCAGGTGCTGCAGTGAAGCCTCTCAGGTAGTGTGTCCTGATGAACTATGCCACAAGAAGAGCATTTATTCACTTTGTAAGTTCACTTCAAGCCCTTCTCCTTTTTTGTTCAGTAAACAGTTCCTCAAAACTAGATTACACACATAATGCTTTGCCTTGGATATTTTAGTATTTGTTTAGGGTGCTGAAATTGATTAGCCCTTCTTGCTCAACTGTGTAGTCAAATGCAGCTGATCTACACATGCTTACATTCTTCAAAATACTTTCTGCCAGACTGTTAAAAGCCAAATAAATTTGCATAAAGCATGAATTTTTAGTGTTTACAGCTCAAGCTCTTACTCTTTTTAAACTGTGAAATGATAAACCCCATTCTCCAAGTAGAGCATGCAGCAGGTCTTGCATTTTGGACAAGTCTTGATTAACAGCCACTTTAGACCCAGCAAGGAGCAGGGCAAAGGCTGAGCAGTCGAACTTGTATGCTGTGTGGAGTGGTACAGAGCACCCTCTTCCACAATTTAAAGGTCATTAACTGGCAGAGCACTTGGGAGGCTTTTCCACAGGTTAATCACCGACCTGCAGTGAGCAATTGATTTCACTTCTCCACTGAAGTATGCTTGTGCAGTCAGCCTAACACTGCTTCTGTAAAGTACATTAGGAGCTGATGGAAAGCACTAAAAACCACAGCTGTAGGCAATTATGCTTATGTCCAAGGTGGGTGGATGGGATGCAGCTGCTCTAGTAAGGGAGTGGAACAGGTCCCAGCTCTTATATCCAAGTCTTCATTCTCTCCTCCTCCAACAAAGCCATCTTTAGCATTCTCAGGGAGAAACAAGCACTGCTTCAGAGACCGCTGTCTTGTATTTTACACATCAACTTTAAGGTAGAAGTAGCTGATAAACCATCGCTCTCAAGTTGATTCAGAATGTTGCCTTATAGCACTTAACTCAAAGGAGGCCTTTTTTTTTTTTTTTAGTAACAAAAACATGGGCTGAAAAATGGGATGGGGAATTAATAGGACTTTTCCCCCTCAGGTTAATGCAACAATTAAGTTGTTCTGTTGTTTACTGGAATAAAAAAATAGAGTAGAATACTAAGAACAGTGTAATTTTTTTTAGTAAAACTATTTTCCTTGTCACCAGCACTGAAAGCAAAGAATATTCAGGATGTTAGATGTATGCTTTATCACAAAGTTTGTTGTTTTCTGGTAACAGGCTGATAAATTAAGCACATTACCCAAAGCACCAGCTGCACACTACATTAAAACAGAAAACCCAGGAAATTTTAATTTGCTTCTTATCAGGATGAGGTTTCCTGACAAGTGTATGGTTGGATTCTGGAATTTCATTGGTCAATAGTGGGATTATGGGCAGTAGAAGGCAAAATTTTAAAATCAGTTTTTCTTTGAGCAAATCAGACCATTATTCTGCTTTCGTTTGTAAATTGCTGTTCAAAATCAACCTAGTGTTAACTTAAATGATCTTCCTTTAATTTGTTATTATCTAAAGCTACGTTTGACTATAAAGACTCTGAAATATGCTAAACATAACATTTTGCTTTGTCAGTGAAAACAGGTATAGGGTATTTTTAGCAAAGAGGAAGACCAATTATCAATAGTTGCAACTTGACACTTCTCTAACAGAAATACTCAGAGGCAGGTACCTGACTTGGGATTTAAACATCCAGATACATTTGGGATGCTCTGCAGCTGGATTTGACAGTTGCACTGATCAATTTTTGCTGGAGACCTTTTTATTTACTAAGTTTAGACACTTGAAGTAGCATTTGGCCTTTCAAATCTTGTGCCACCTCACTTACCTGAAAACAGTATGTGCCCTGTGCTGATTTGCAAAGGCACTGGAACTTGCTTGTACATCATGCATCAAAATTCACAACAAAACCAGGCAAAAGAAGAGCTTCTAACAGCACTCCTCAAAAGAACATAGGCAAAAATGACACTCTGAAGACCAATGGTGCCATAACAGCTTTATTTTTTACTTAACACAAGGCAGTTAGAGTGCCTTTTAATACTTCACATAACAGTTATTAGCAAATACAAATATATATATACTTTTTTGTTGTTGCTTTTAATGAGTATGTCCATTTAAGGATTTAACTTGGACATTTCAGTTGTGAAATCTCTCTAGATCTTTGCGAAGTTAACAGATATTCCAGTGCAAAAATAGATCCCATTACAGATAGCATAAAGTGCTTGGAATGAAGGACCAACTATAATTCAGGAGGGAAGGATAAGCACGAAGTGGTGGTTTAACCATGGGGAAAATACAACAACTCATTACTGAAATACAAATGTACTACAAAGAAGGATGCAACATGTCAATACTAATAAAGTTTAAAATAAGTTAATACCTCAGTGCAGTTTCGTTATCAAGAGTGGTTCATATACTGTATGTGACGCTAGAGTGGTTTTTTTTTTTCCCCAACACACACCTAAAAGAGTAAATTAGTAGCTGTCTGAACTTACTCCATGACAAATCTGCACGTGAGAGTTGCATTATGCTGTCTGTTCAGTACAAATAAGACAGACTGGAGCTATGAAATAGTTCAGTTAATATCCATGTTCACTGAAATATTTTGTCACCGATAGCAGGCTCTTGTATGAGCATGGCAGTCACAGGGCAATAGGAATCAAGAATCTCTTTTTTGGTGGGCTAAGGAATGAGGATTATAATGTAACTGTTGTTTCCTGCAACATTAATCATTTACATGAGCAGTTACAAAGAGCAAACCACAGCCCTTTCAGGACCAAATCTGAATCCTCCTAGAACTTGTTCTAGTTTTACATGCACTAGTTTGGTGCAGTGCAAAACACAAGCCCTTCACTTCAGTGACTTAATGCTGATTTGTAATAGTGATTTTTAGCAGTGGTAAGCCTTCAATACATGCTATTTGTCTCAATGATACTGTAACACACCTACAGCCTGTTACCGAGAAGTCATGGCTGTAGCTCAGCTGTTCAGTAATTTTTCTGCACCTGGAAATCTGGTGTATTCACCACCCTGTAACTCATCCCCATAGGGTGATGACGGCATAAGGGTAATAACAAAGCATGTTTTAAGTGAGGTATACCAATCCCCATTACACTCCTTTCTCAATCCCCTTAGCAATGTATTATACAGATCCAAAAAAAAAAGTATGAAAAAGGCACTTGAGCAGAGCACGTAGTAAGCTCTTACTTTATCCCAAGGCAGGACACAGCAGGGACTGGGAACTTGTGCTAAATATTTAACTGTTTGTGTATTAAAAATGCTGAACTGGTCAGTGTTACCACATATACCTGGAAATACATAATCAACCTTCTTCAGGCTCATGCCAGCCTCTTCACTGTTTGCTGGGCTGCTATGGGCATTCACAGAAGAAAATGGTCCGTGACTGATTCATGGTGGAGTAGCATCAAGAACTAGTGCAGAACCTGTACAAGTATTTAAGGCAGAGGCATGACATACAGGAACAGCCCAGGAACTGCACTTGGGTTCAAACCACATTACTGAACCTATTTCTGAATGTGACAGAAAGACAGAGGGGCCCATAAGTGTATTAATAAAAGCATACTCTCCCATGACTGTTGTACAATGTGAACAAGAATTGGTTGTTGTTACCATATAATATCCCCTATAATATTATTCTGGCTTTGCAAAACTTTTAAAATTGACTGGTGCAACTGTAGCACTACTACTTTGCACTATATTCTTCTTCAAGGGGATTTTTACCCAAGCAGTTTGTCACATGTATAGTAAGGGTGTATTCTCCAGTTAGGGATCTCCTAATGACTGAAACTACACTGCACAACAGAAGCAGAAACTTACACATTAATCTAATGCTATACCAGTTTCCAAACAGGAAAATTTAGGTGAACAACTTGCAGTAATTGCAGATAGCAGCCGATTGCTAGAAGAGTCTGGTACTTGGTCAGATCATGAATGTAGCTATCGCTGAATGGATAGAATGAGAGCATAGCATTGCAGGCATAACGTAAAGAAATACTGTGGCTACAAAGATCAACTGAAAGCACTTTCAATCCCTATTTATGCTACCTACCTAAAGTCATAAATAATACTGTTAAAAAAAAGAAAAATCTACATCTCATTTCTAGTTTTATCTGGCAAAGCCAGAAATGGCAACATGCTTGTGCTAAGCAATAACTTCAGATGATGGGTACCTTTCTGGTGCAAAGCAGGGGTTAACGAGCAGATATTACGTAGCTGAGTGACATCTCATGATTTTGAATTTGCTCTTGGCATTAGCAGCTTGTACAACTACTGAGTTTGCTGCTGTGGTCCAAACCCTAGGTCTGCTTCTCACCCACTTCCTCCTACTAGGTGTTCATGCAGCTGCTGCAGTACCTCAAAGGAGCAGGAGAGTACTTAACTACACAAAAACCTAGTCAGAGAAGGTCATTGGTTGTGATGCTGGTGGGACAATC